AGCTGAAGCTGCGAAACCACCAAACATTGGTTTGGAGGAAAGAAGTGGAGTCGGGCAAAGGGGCACGGCCTTCTGGGAACTGCCAGAGACCGGATTTCGTCCCCTGACCTCAGCTTCCCCAACTCCTGTCCTTCACAGGGTGAAACTGGCATTGGCAAAACCCACTAGACAATAGTAGAAGCCCACCTTGGTACCCCACAGATGGGCTGGATGATAAGTTCCATACTCCACAGCTACTCTAGGTATGATGGTTGCTCCAGTCCAACATGTTTAGATGGTTTGGGAAGGCTGTGCTAGCAACTGAAAGCACTCTGAAGAGCCTAAATATTCCTATTGTGCGATGGAAGGGGAGGTCAAGAGAAGGGGCAGAGAACAGCACCCACCACTAATGCCAGTGGAACAGTGCGAATCATTTTTGGAGGAGCATCAAGACATGCTAAAATGGGAGTCGGTCAAAACTCACATCCATAAATCATTTAATACCTGAAAAGCGGTCCTGGGGAATAGTAGTTAAGCCGGTGTGGTGCAGTGGTTAGAGCACGGGACTGGGACTCAGGCGATCCGGGTTCGAGTCCCCGCTCAGCCATGGAGCCCACTGGGTGACTCTGGGCCAGTCACAGACTCTCAGCCCAACCTACCTCACAGGGTTGTTGTTGTGGGGAGAAGATGGAGGAGGAGAATGCTGTCAGCTGCCTTGAGCCCTTGGTAGGAAAAAGGCAGGATATAAATCAAAAATAAATAAATAAAAAGAGTAGGCTTGCGACCCCTAATGGTTTAACAAGCCATTTTCTCCCTGCAGTGCCTTCCACAGCTTCTGGCGAACAAGGAAGGGAGAATCGACAGAGAGGTGGAGGTGTGTGCTCACTTTCTGAGAGGGGTGGAAATAAAGACTGTTCTGGAACCTCTTTTCCCTTTATTACTGCACAGACCTGGCTGGCAATGTCCCTTTCCAGGGTGAAAATCTGCTGCATTTGCCCCTCTCCTCAATTCTCCCTCCCGAGCCCCTCCGCTCAAGCCATTCCAGCCAAAAACAGAGAAATGGCAGGGTGCAGTCTGGCCGGGATGGATGCTCCACATCCATGGCAGGCAACACGGAATGGCCCCCAGAAACTGGGGGGTTTTCCAGCCACCAAAAGCTAGAAGCACCAGCTAGCTCCATGACTGCTTTTGAAACTGAAATCTGGTTTGCGGGGGTAGTAGAATGACGTGGAATTGTCCTGCGAGGGCAGATTGGCTTGTACCAAGTGAGGTCACGAAGTGCAGTGCTCTCTCTTTCAATCAGGGGTTCGGAACCGTAGACTTGGGGAACAAATCTGATTTTCCTGGGTCACTGGCAGGCCTTCCGGGGCTTGTTGGGTAGTCTGGTGGTTTCCCAGCTCAGTTTCCTCTCTGCTCCATTCAAAAAGGCTGAAATGCATCTTCTGGGAGGGAAGGATTTAAAACATAGAAACAGAGTGAGTCAGAAGGGGTCTCCTGGGCCATCTAGTCTGACCCCCGGCTCCTCTCATGACATGCCCACCATGTGCATGTCCAGCCTATCCTAGAACACCCTCACCGATGGGGCCTCCACCACCTCCCGTGGAAGCCCATTCCACACCCTCGGAGTCCGAACTGTCAGGAAGGACTTCCTCGCATCCAAATCCAATCCAAATTTGGGGGTTCTGCTGCTCCCAGCAATGTAACACAGTCTCAGGGGCATGTCAAAAGCAACAACCGACTCATGGGGGAGTAACACGCTCCCAGTTCTTTTCTTGGTCCCAACCACATGGAGTTTGCTGATCCTGCGTCCAGTATCAACATTAGAAAATACCACCCCAAGTCTATCCAGGCTCAGCACTGGTTGGAAATCAATCCAGGTGCATCCAACCCCTAACAGGTTTGCACACTCCCCAGGTGAAATATTGTTTGCATTGACAATACTGGCGTCGGCTTTCCTCTGAGGAGCAACGAATACGGAGTAACCTAGAAGTCTGCTTTTTTGGGTTTTTTGCCTCTTAGGCGTTCACCCTTGCAAATCTGCCTTTATTTACCAGTCAATAGATCCCTTTTTCAAAACAGGCAGCTGGGAGACACCCCTCTCCACTGCAAAGAGAGAGCCAAGCATGGAAGGGACGAGTGGCGGGATCCATTTTCTGCTCTAGAATTGTGTTTCCCAGAGGGACCGAATGGATGCTTCCAGGAAGCAGGATTCAAGACCGAGGAGCTCCCCCCTCTCTCCCCCCGGCCCCATGGCTGGGTGCTTCCTCTAAAGAGGAACGCAGTCCTCAGTCATTGTGACAAAGGGCTGAAATCATGGCATTTCCTGCTTGTACTTTTCTAGTGTTTTCAAAAGGGCCCGGCCTTTTGAGGTTTGTTCTGCCGGATGCATGGAAAACTTGGGATGCACCAGAAGTGTGCGTGGAGTTTCTGTTGAGCCCTTAATCCTTTGCACCTGCTCGCTGCGTTGAAACAAAAAGCGTCTTGAAAGGCCGATTTCCTGAGAAGTGCAGGGCTCCAAGAAATGTGAAATGGGGAGGCATTCCCCAGGATGGTAGCAATGCTGCCTCCGGAGCGTTTTCCAGTGAAACGCGGTCTGCCTGGGCGAGCGGGAGGCACGGCGGGGATTGTGGAAAGGATCCGCTGGGGCTGCTCAGATGACTCCCTGCTTTTCGCGCTCCCAACGGCGGCTGGCGTTGCTTTGGGAGCCAAGGGATTTCTCGCTGCTGGTGTGGATGGGAGGCCATGCCCTGAGCTCAGGACAGAGGGACTGGCTCCCACAAAGCGGAGAGGCATTTAACAGTGGCTGCTTTCTTTGCCAAGGAGAGGTTTGATGCAAAAGGAACACAAACCTCTTGTTTTTTCCATGAGTCACTTCTGAAATATGTTTGTCCTTCAAGCACAGAAGCGCTCAAGCTGTCTTAAAAATGAATGGAAATACAGTTCTCCGAGAAGCCTGCAGTTTAGGGTCGGGTTGGAGCTTCCGGTTGGAGGTGCCGGCTTTGCTGCCAGACGACTTGGGATCTGGCACCTTCCGGGTGGGCTGGAGCACAAGGCCCGTCACCGTTGTATTTCATTCTGAGCACACACTTTGCAGTCGGGCTCCCCCAGCCTGGCTCCCCGCAGAGGCCGATGGCTATGTTGGCTAGGAACTGTAATCCCAAGCAGCTGAGGGAACCTGGTTTGCCTATACAGATCTTGTATTCTTTCTCCTGTTTCTTCCCATCCATCCATCCATCCATCCATCCATCCTCCATCTGGAATTACATGGTTTGGGTTGGTTTCCCTTGCGGAGGCCCCACCACCACACTGTTGGTGCAAATCTAACATGTGGCACCAGTCCTTTTCCACCTACGCTGGCTTCCACTTGAAGTCCGGGCCCAATTTAAGGTGCTGGAGGTGACCTAGAAAGCCCTAAGCAGCTGAGGGCCTGGTTGCCTGAAGGAGTGTCTCCTTCCATATGTGGCTGCCTGCCCCTTAAGATCTGGGGCAGTCGCCCTTCTCCAGGTGCCCTCCCTGAAGGAGATTAGAAGGGTGGATACCCAGAGCAGGGCCTTCTCTGCAGTGGCACCCCGATTGTGGAATTCATTCCCTAGAGAGTTTTGCTTGGTGCTGTCACTTTATTCTTTTCTGCACCAGGCCAACCCCTTTTTATTTTCCCAATGTTTTAAGACCTGTTTTAACTGGGGTTTTATTATTAGTTGAATTTTAGGACGCTGTGATCAAACAATCAAAATGCTCGTCCTTTGAAACCCTGTTTCTGGTGGCATCTGGCTGAGCAGATGGAGGAAGCTGACTGGCCTCACAGCAGCTAGAAATGTGGGAGACCCCATTTCCCACCGCTGGTCTCTTGTGAGGGCTCCCCACTTCAACTTTCCATCTGAAAAATGGGAATAATGACCAGTTCCCCAACATGAGGAAGCCAGAGAGCATCTCCATGAGCTAGTAATGCATGCTGTGCCAATGACCTGTTTTAATGAAACTCCCCACATTCAGATGGACGGGTTTGTATTTTAGTTTTAGGGAGCTGACCTCCACAAACAGAAAGAAGTTAAACTCATTGTTTCAGCAAGAAAGACCTTCTGATCGCTCTGGGTGGTCTCAAGACAATTTTTACGTGGTCTGGCAGGATCTGCTTTCAGCAGAAAGATCGGGGCAGCTTGGGGCTGCTCTGCACATCGGTTCTTTGAGTCTCTCCTCCCCTTTCCCTTTCCTTACATATATTTTTGCATGATTATGGATGGTGAGGCAGTTGTGCAACAGACACATACATGTTGTGGTAGGCAGAGCAGAAAAGGAAAACCACATAAGAGATGGACGGACTCCATCAAGGCGGCCACAGCCCGGCATTTACCAGGGCTGAGCAGGGCTGTGGAGGACGGGACATTTCGGGGGCCTCTCATTCATGGGGTCTTGCTAACTCGGAGGTGACTTGATGGCACAGAGATCAACATGGCAGAGAGGGCCAAACCGCTCCGCCTTTTCCCTGTGGACGTGGTTCCAGTTGTTTTCCCTGCCTGGCTACTACGAGTCTTCAAAGGAAAAACAGACATGTTGTTCTTGTTGTTTATTTCATTTCTGTACCTCTTTCTGCCAAAGATCTCTGCACCTTTTGTAGCAATTGGTCATCACAATTTACTGCCTAATTTTTCCTTAGGCACAGGAGCGGTCTGGTCCCCTTCCGCTTAATAAACCTCATTTATGTGTGTATAGAGCAGAGATGTAAAGCTTATTCTACTTCTGAGCTAACAGCCAGCAAAAACCAGTCCGCAGGAGAGGGAGAGATCTTTCCTTTTGACCTTTTCTCCTCTTCACTGTGTATATTTTCTTACCCCCTCGAGTTTTTTCTTTCCTTGCTGGAAAATTAAAAACAGGATATACAAATAAATGGAAGACAGTCCCCTTGCATCCAGCTTCACCCCACGTCTCTTGCAAAGCCTGGAATGGTTTGTGTAATGGATTCCGCTTTGGCGTGTTGATACGTAGAAATCCTCACAGTGTTTTTCCCTTTGCCTCTTCGATAGGCCACCAAGCAATTTCTGGAAGAGATCAACAAGTGGACAGTCCAGTACAATGTGTCCCCACTCTCCTGGAATGTGGCCGTCAAGTTCCTCATGGCTAGGAAGTTTGATGTCCTTCGCGCGATCGAGCTCTTCCATTCCTACCGGGTAGGTGGGGCGAGACTGTCAGGGCAGCTTCAGAGGGACGTGCCCCGTCCTCTAAGAAAAGACCCCTTCCACTGGCGCTCCAGAGGTTACTGCCCCCTTCTAGGTTTTTGGAGGGACTCATGGCTGAGAGCAACAGGTGGTCAAAAGGTGGTGGTGGTCGTTCCCTTCAGTGTGGAAGGTCCTAGTTTCGGTTCCTGGCAATCCGAGATAGGGCTGGGGAAGAATTCTGCCTGAAATCCTGGGGAACTGTTGCCAGTCAGTGTAAGTAATATGGAGCTAATGCTCCAGTGGGACTTCATTATGTAGCCGCTTCCTGTTAAGATTTCTCCTGTGATTGCTAAATTGCTCGGGCAGCCCTGCTGGGTACAGAAACAGCTGCTGTGTTTTCCCAGGCTGATTTTTCCACCCATGTCCCTGAGGGCTAGCGACTTTCTCCCATGTCCTCTCTCAGCCCCGAGCAATGAGAATTCCAGGATTCTGCTCAGCTGTTGGGTTCTGGGCAGGAGGTTGGTTTCGTGGACCACAGCAAAGCAGATTCCCACATCCTGTTCTCTCTGCTTGCGTCCCCCTGCTGTAACGCTGTTGATTCTCAGATGTGGGAGAAAAGACATGAAGCTGCCTTCTATGGGGTCAAGCTACTAGTCCATTTTGACTTAGTGTGGATGACACTAACTAGCAGTGACTTTCTGTGGTTTCAGATGTGCAGGCTTTTCCTGGCCTAGCTGGAGTTTCTGCTGATCAAACCCGAGGCCGCCTGCATGCCATTCCATGCTTTATTTATGAGTTACACTCGTTCCTTAGGGAGGAGCTGTCCCTGTTTGTGTCCAATCTGCCCAAACCAGTCAGGCAAGATCAGCCATGAGGTTTGGCCTAGAGAAGGCAGGTGTGATGGGAGGTTGCGTGTGACTCCTACAATAGCCACTCGGCTTCGAACAGCAGACTGGAAAAGCAGCTTTGTTTGCCTTTGGCTTCTGTTGTGGATGCCTGAAAGAGCGTGATTCCTCCCATCTCAGGAAACCAGGCTGAAGGAAGGGATCGTGAAGCTGAAACCCCACGAGGAGCCCCTTCGATCGGAGCTGCTTAGTGGGAAATTCACGATTCTGGTGAGTGTGGCCAGGCTGTTGTTCTGCTTGTGCAGCTGGCATGGTATAAGTGTGCTCATGGGGGGCTGGGGAGAGCTGGGCTTGAGTGGCAGCTCACCTGTGGAGCTCGCGGGAGCGAATAACTTTAGGCCAGTGATAGATTCGCACCAGACCCCACAGGGTTACAGCAAGGATACAAATGGGGATAAGGAAAAATCACTACTGCTAGTAGTAGTATTATTAGTAGCAGTAGTATTACTATTTTTATGACATCCAATAGCCAAATTCTGTCAGGCTTCCTGGGGGAAAAGGCAGGATATAAATGAAACAAACTAATGTTGTGAGGTGCTCATTTTATTGTAGCCATTGTCCTGACTCAGTTTGGGGGTTTAGCTCCAGGGGATGGCACCCGGTGCTCAGAACTCTACTGTTTTCCCATGACTCCTTTGACCTTGTATCAGGCCCCTGAATGACCAAGGAGGTCTTTAAAGACCGCTGGAAAGAGGCCTGTCTTAACCTGGCACTGAAAAGATGGCAAAGTTGGTGCCAGGCAGTCCACAACAGGGAAGTTATTCCAAAGATGGGAGCCACCACCGAAAAGGCTCTCCCGTTAGTTTCCTCCCTCCGAGTCTCTAGGCATTGGCACTCATCTCTTTGACGCCATGGCTGACCTTTCCCTGTTGGCTTCTTTGCAGAGTGTGCGGGATCCTTCGGGAGCGTCAATTGCCCTCTTTACAGCCAAGCTGCACCACCCCAACAAAAGCGTCCAGCATGTGGTACTCCAGGCTCTCTTCTACTTGCTGGACAGGGCCGTGGAAAGGTGAGTAGGGGCTTTGTACTCCTGTGAGACGTTTGCGTTCTTGGCCTCAGCGTGCTTCTCCCTTCGCTTCCTACAACCTGTGTGTGGGTGGGGGGGGGGGGCGGTGTGTGCGCACACCTGCATTTGCGCTTACAGGTTTTTGATTGTTAAAGAAATGATTTAGTTTTGCCTTGCCATCTGACATGGGGTCAGACCCAAGCAAAGGAAAAGTGTTGAGCTTGGCTTAACTTCAGGGGATGAGGCTTCTGTTAACTTTGATAAGATTTTAACTACTTACATTGTCTTAAGTACTTAGATTGCTGCATTTACTGGTGGAAGGACAGGGAGTTGGCAGGATTGAGAGAGAACCTTTCTGCAACTTTATTAACGTTTTGGGAAGTATAATATTTGTCTTCTCCCAACTGTAGCTGCAGTGGGATGCATATTGAACTAACAGTAGAATTAATGGGATTTACGTCTGAGTAGATATGAAAAGAACTATAATCAATAAAATTGTCTATCGGTTTCATTTGGATACCACCCAATGGCTGAAGCTAAAAGAGTCCCTCATTATCAGGACAGTAAGTGCATGGTAGGCTTGTGGAGCCGGCTGGAGCCGGGGGTCAGACTAGATGGTCCGGGAGACCCCTTCTGACTTGCTCAGTGTCTATGTTTCTAAGATACTCCTCCTGATAAAAAATACCAAAATAAATGCTTCATATGATAAATACTAACAGGTGATCTCAGGTCTTATTAATTTTAGATTTAAACCCTGCCTTTCTCTTTTTTAAAGAACTCAAAACGGCCTCCGTCTTTCTTCTCCTCCTGTTCTCAGTCTTATCCCAACAACAGCCCTGTGAGGTAGGCTGGGCTGAGTGTCTGTGACTGGCCCAAAGACATCCAGTTGGCTCCACGGCTGAGTGGGGACTCGAACCCAGATCCTCTGAGTCCCAGTCCCACGCTCTTCACTACTGCACCACCCTGGCTTACGTAGCCAAAATGGCGCCCACACACCCAAGGGGGAGCCCTCAGCAAGCCTGGAGGAGAAGCCCCAAGATTTAGAAAAGTACTGTAAAGCTGCAGGGACCCTGCCCAATGCAGCGATGGGACCCCCTAGCTCATAATGCAGGGTGAGCATATTTGTGGCCTCTGTATGTTGAACTGCAATTCCCATGACCCTTTCTCTTTAGCTCCACTAGCTGAGGCTCCTGGGAGCTGCAGGCCAACAGCGTTTGGAAGGATAGGCAGAACCATCCTCTCCCCCAAGCAGCCATGAGGACTGAGTCTGTGTAATGGTCACAGCACGCTGGAAGACAAGAGGAGAGAAGGAACGGCCATGGGAGGACGGGGTGGGGATGGAATGGAGTGCCCTGGAAGGAGGCATTGCTGGTGTCTGGCTGGGGCCCTGAGCCTGCCGCACATGGCCAAAAGGGCGTCCTTCCCCCTACCCGTGAGCCATGAGCAGCACTCCCTACGGAAGTTTAGAGCGGAAGGACAGAAGAAGAGCGCTGCCAGATCAGCCCAATGGTCCACCTGGTCTAGCGATCCATCCAAACCAGCTGCCTGCGCCTTCCCTCCCGCAGGGTGGGGGCGAGCCCTCCGCCTGCCCAAGCTCCGCGGCGGTGGGGGAATGCCATCTGGTGGTGGCGGCGGTGGTTCTGTCGCGTCGTCTTGGCCGTAAGCAGCGCATTCTCCCAGTAATGGCGATCAGTTTGAAGGTGGCCCAAAGGCGAGGCAGAGCCCAAGGGAGGATGCAGAGTTGCCTCAAGCTGAATCCAACCGCTGACCCACCAAACCCAGGCGTGGGAACAGATGTGGGCCTCCAGATGTTGCTGGAGCGTATGACTCCCGTCCTCAAGGTGCTGTTAAGGGTCTTTTGAAATAATGACTGCTGGAGTCATTCGCTCTGCAGAGCTGGAGCTGATGGGGGCTGCAGTTAGGCCTCTGGGAGGCTCAGGTCCCCCCCACCCCCGTGAGGCGGTGTTACGTATTCAGGGCGTTTTGTTTCTAAAGCTCTGCTGGGGTTCAATGCGCCTCACCAGGTATCGCTTCTGGGTTCCCCACCCAATCGCTGCCCTGAGCAGCATTTTAAGTCCACTTCGGGGCAAACTGAAACGCAACGAAGCTGTGTGGCACAGATGTATGGAATAATCCGTGAAAATCTATGCCACCATAAATCTGTTGATCTTTAGAGTGCCGCATCAGTCTCGTTGTTGTTAAATAATGCGGGCTGTAAAACGGGAGCTGAGCTATCCGGCTGTAATGCCTCCAGGCAGTTAATCTGGTAGGACAATGCCTTCTGGATCTAAAAGCTAAGACGGCTTTGAATAATATAGGCCAATGCTTGGTCCAGGCAGTTGTTCGAAACTTAATGAATTAGGGTTTACAAAACTGTGACCAAGCGTTGCGGCTGAGGTCATATTTGCTGGCATACCCCTGTTTTCTGGGCTGGTTTTGGCACAAAATTCCTGGCTTATCTTAAGCTGGCCTCGCCATTAAGTCTGAACTATGGTGCATTGACTTAGGTTTATTTAACAAACTGGGCGGGGGGGGGGGGGGAATGTGGCTTAGGAAGCTCTGAAGATCAACCCAATCTGTGCCTTTAGTATCTCTGCCTGTAGTGCTTCTTAACACTGGTCTATTAGTCGTAAAAGTGAGATGTTATTACTACAGCTTGGTGTGTTACTCCCCCAGCAGTAATCTGCCTCCCTTCTCTCTTCTCCTCCCTACTCCGTCCCCCAATCCTCAGCTTCGAAACTCAGCGGAACGGCCTGGTATTTATATATGACATGGCAGGTTCCCACTATACCAATTTTGAGCTAGATCTCAGCAAGAAGATTCTCAACCTACTGAAGGTAAAGGCTCGGGGGCCTCCTGGGATTCTGTCCTCACTCGTCTGGTGTGTGCTCGGTTGTGTTTTTGGAAAGCTTTTCCATGAGCTCCTGTTGGCTTGTGGATTTCAGGGCATGATGGCAGCACTGGGGAACTGGGGGATTCTCCAGAGCAGGTCAGAAATGGGTGAGGGAGACTCGGCCACGGATTGCTCTGAAAAATGGCACGCGGAGCTGCCTCGGTGGCTGACCAGCTGTTGCTTGGAGAGTGAAGGAGAGTCCACCAGTCTCCTGCATGACTGGTTCCACTGTCCAGTGGCTTTACCACTAAGAAATGCCCTCTAATATTCAGCTACCTTCCTGTGCACCCTTGGGATCTAGCTGTGCTTTCCAGGACAGGCAGAGAATACGCATGGGACAGCCCTTGGAAGGCCCATAGAATGGCCCCATATCTTCCCAACTTTCCAGCTCACAAGGGAGCACGAGGCACGTTTCGTCTGCCCAGAAAAGGCGCCCCTGAGTCTCAGAGGCCCAGGAGCTGATCTCCTGGCATTGAGAGTGAACATTCCAGGTGCTTTCCTTTGGGAGCAATGGCATAGCCGTGCTGAAAAGGGAATGCTTTCGACTACCTGTACATGACTACCAGGTCAACAATCCATGGAATGGCCCATCCCCTGAGGCCTTGGGGAAGTGATATGACTAATTTCAGCAGCATGACCCACGGAGTCCAAAAGCATGGACTGGCAGATGCGGCTCAATTCAATTAATGATTCACAGGTCCAAAATGTGGCTTTTTAATCCAAGCGGTCATCTTGACATGATGACAGAAGGCTGGTGATACTGGTATAAACAGCCAGTTTCCTCCTCACGGTTCAATTAAGGCACTTGAAGCCGTTTCCCAGAAAAGTCAAAGGCCAGCATTTCCTGTATTTAAATGCCCTATTTTTTTTTCTTTAAAGAAACACCACAAACATTCGAAGTACTAAATTAAGTTTCATCAGATTAAAAATGAGTTGGAGGATGGAGGACCTCATTCCTCAAGTGGAAGCTTATTTTAATATATGGCCATCCCTAATCCCTTAACCATGATTAAAACAATGGCCAGTGGAACTGTACTCTTTCTCCCTTGATCCCCTTTCTGCATCTCCCACCCCTACCCAGGTTAGGTGACCTATTACCTTGGTTGTTAACTTGGGTTTCCTCTAATCTGAAACAAGCGAGTCTATTGCAAACGTTCTGTCTGCTTTTCTCTGCCATGCTAACAGCTTGGTTTGCCTGAAGGAAGAATCCCGAACATGGGTTGCGTGTGGGTTGGTGTTGAATCCTTGCCAATTGCTATTATGTGAGAACCCTATGCCAAGGTTTAGCCATGCATTGTTAACCACAGAAAACCCAGAAGAGAACTCATGGTTGGTTGGTTGGTTATCATGCTGTGAAATCTGGATTGCTAACTTCCTATATAAGGTTCATGTGTAACACTAATTTTCAGTTCAAGAACCCCTGAATCAATGACAGCCAATAAGCTTGGTTCCAGATCTCTTAGTCTTTAGATTGTCAGATTATCTTTGCTTTGTTGATGCTGCTTTAACACATTAATGTCAACTGTGCGCCAACAGGTTTCCTCCACTCTTCCCCCTGTAATTGCACGGCCAGCTGTATATTGATATTGTTAGCCACTTAGAGAGTCCTGTCGGACTGTTAAGCAGCATATAAATTTGAAAATAAATAGATAAACTCAGTGGCACAAGTGCCAACTTAAGTCTCCGTCTTGCTTATTGACTGCTGGAGTAAATAGCTACAAAACTGCATTCCAGTCCAGCTTTGTACGTTTGGAATGTTTGGATTGGTGTATTTTTTTTTCTCCTATGAAGTTTGAACTCCTCTTTTTCTCTCTTCCTGTATGCACTGGTCTCCCTCTATTGGCAGGAGGAAAAGAAAGCAGAGAGTGGGTGTCCCTGATGTATGCATGTCACTGAGATGAAAACTTTTTCACCCAAAAGCCCCATTTTCCAAGATGTTCTATTACCCCGTGTTGATTTTGTTTTTGTTTAGTCACAAAGTCATGCCTGACCCATCATGACCTCATGGACCACATTCCCCCAGGCTCTCTCGTCCTCCTCCATCCCCCAGAGTCCACTCAAGCTCACACCAAATGCTTCAGGGACTCCATCCAGCCACCTCATCCTCTGCCGTCCCCTTCTCCTTTTGCCCTCTATTGTTCCCAGCATTGGGCTCTTCTCCAGTGAGTCCTTCCTTCTCATGAGGTGGCCAAAGTATTTGAGCTTCATCTTCAGCTTCTGGCCTTCTAAAGAGCAGCCAGGGTTGATCTCCTCTAGGACTGACCGGTTTGATTGCCTTGCGGTCCAAGGGACTCTCGGGAATCTTTTCCAGCACCACAATTCAAAGGCCTCAATCCTTCGGCGCTCAGCCTTCCTTATGGTCCAGCTTCCACAACCATACATTGCAACTGGGAAAACCAGTGCTCTGACTATATGAACTTTTGTCGGCAGGGTGATGTCTCTGCATTTAGTATGCTGTCTAGATTTGCCATAGCTTTGCTCCCAAGGAGCAAGCGTCTTTTAATTTCTTGTCTACAGTCCCCATCTACAGTGATCTTGGAGCCCAAGGAAATACAATCCCATGTTGATTAACATCCTGTTGAATCTCAGAGATGAACCAGCCCAATTAAGCATTCTGAATTATCTTGTGAATATAGTGTCGGGTCTGTCCGAGCACTCGGTGGCCCATTCCCACTGCAGTCGGTGCTGTAGCCGTCTTTCTTCCTCACCCCCTGTGCAGGGAGCTTTTCCAGCCCGCCTCAAGAAGGTCTTCATCGTGGGGGCCCCCATGTGGTTCCGCGTTCCCTACTCCATCATCAGCCTGCTGCTCAAAGAGAAACTCCGAGAAAGGGTGAGTGTGCAGGCATCCGACCTCACCGGGATCTGGAAGGATAGGTGCCTGTTTAACACTGTGCAGCACAGAAGAGATTCCCCAGGAAAGAAGTAGGGAGGTTGGGTAGACGCTTCCACGCACAAAGGCTTGCTGGAAGCAGAAAGTTTGTTTTGGCAGGAGCTCCCCTGTCTTCAAGTCACATTTCCGTCTTGAGATCGATCTGCTATTCAGATGAGTTGCATATGACGGTTTAATGCATCCCCATCTCTTTCTCTGCCCACACCCCAAACTCACACACAGGTTCAGATGGTGAAGATGTCGGAGCTGAAACAGCACCTCCCCCAGGAATGTCTTCCGGAGTACCTGGGTGGATCCCTCAAGCTGGATCCCCACAGCTGGAACTGCAGGTTTCTCCCACAGCAAAACGGGCACCCAGATCCCCTCGACGAGCTGATCTTGGTGCCCCTGGCTGCGCCCCGCGACAACGGCTCGGTGCACGTCCCGGGGCCGAAAGCCATGACGGTGCAGGAGGTGACGGAGCACGTGAGGCAGAAGCAGAAGCGGGGCATCTACGAAGAGTACGAGGGGATTCGGCGGAGGAATCCGTCGGGCACGTTCGTCTGCTCCTTGTAAGTGGGGGGCGTGCTCTCTGGGGGAGCGAGGGCCCCGCTGTCTCGGCCAGTGGAGAGAAGAGGAGGGAGAACAGGGAGTGATGACGGGGGAAGCTCGGTCTCTCCTCCCCAGCCGGTTTCCACAGCGTCTCGCTGAACGTGGTGCAGCTCGTGGGCCCTCCAAAGCCTGGTGGAAAGGCTTGGATCGGAGTGGCTGAGCTTCTTCAGTCCAGGGACCACTTCCCACTTTGGAGAAGCTCTTGGCATTTCTGTGCTGGGCAAGGGGGCGAAAGGTGGAAGGCCAAAGAGGCAGGACTAAAAGGCCAGCGCATTTTATCTTCACGTTCTCACTGACACTCACTGGGAAAGGCCGTTTTTACCTTTTGGAGTGGGGGAAAACTGCACCGAAGGTGGGAAAACACCAGACACGGGAAAGGAGGCAGGGTACGTCCCCGTGGAAGGAAGCATGGCCCGGGATGAATTTCTTTATCAGCAATTCTGTGCTAAACAAATTACAAGCTACAAGCGGCCCAAGAGTACCATATATAAAATTACAAAACCAAACCATAACTACCAGATCGTAACAATGGTAACATTGCAAGGTAGGAAGCCTAAAAGCTGTTCAGCCTGTGAGCAAACAAGGGAATCAGTGAATCCTAAACAACAGGCAGAACAGCCAAGCAAGTAGGAATGTTTTGTTTTGGCAGCTAAGAGAAAGCAACACCTGCATTGTATCGATCTTGGTGCAGTCAAGGGCCAGGCGCAATCCGTCTTTTGCACTTGGTAGGAGATCTTGTTACACAGTTGCATAGTGAAGGTGCTGGCCCAAATATCTGACTTCCGGCAGTGGATCCCAAGTGGATTCTGCCGCTCCCTTGCGTTGCTGCCTGAGCTGAAAGGGCTCAACATACCCCAGGGAGAACTCGGGGTGCTGCCCTACTTTCTCCTTGCCCATCGTGCCTGCTCTTTCTTTCCCCCATGTAGAGCTCCCCTTAACCAGGAGAAGAACCGATACGGAGATGTGCCGTGCCTTGACCAAACCAGGGTGAAGCTGTCCAAACAGTTCAGCTACCAAGAGGTAAGCAGTTGGAGCGAGAAGCTGCGTTGTGGTGAGAACACAACCGGTCAGACCCAAGTGTCCAGGGTCGGTGGCCACAGCTGGAATTGTGAGGGAGGGCTGCCGGCGCCGTCACAAAATGGCTGCTTTGGGCATGTTCCAGCCTCAGCCAGCCTGGCCAGTGGTCGGAGATGCTGGGAGCGGTGGTGTGGGACACCCAGGGAGTGCCAGCTGGGGGACCGGCTGGCAAAAGTGATCCGTTCTGGTATGAAGTGCCGCCCGTTCTTGCTGCCACTGGTCTTATTCCAGAGGTATTATGGCACCTCACTTGAGAAGGCCTTGAAACTGGACAGTTTTACCCCGTTGGCTGGTTTTTATTGATGGTCTTTATGGCTGCCTTTGCGCTCTCACGGTTGCATATTTGGCCAGTTAGAGTAGAAGCCACAGAATTTGATAGACTTGATAGTCTGACCTGAACCACGACTGAAATGCGTTGGCGTTTTATGGATTTATGGAGCACGTCTGGGAGAGGGTAGGAGCTGTTCTTGCTTAGCCTCCCCTTCTTCCCCTGTGTGTCCTTATGAACAGCTTCCGCAAGTGTTGCTGCTCCAGCCAGCTTCTAGCAGTAACATGTGCCGTTGTGTCCCTCTAGCTGACTGACTATATCAATGCCAGCTTCATGGATGGGTACAAACAGAGGAACGCTTACATCGGCACGCAAGGTATGGAAGAAGCGCCCCCCGCCCCCCAGTGCCCCTTCCCAGTCCGCTCACTTATAAAAATAAGACCTCACTTAGGCATGAACTGGCTAAAAGTAGCAGGCAACTTTCTGGGCAGTGCTTCTGATGCAGAAGTCATTGATAATCAAGGGTAGAACATTTGTAAGGCTCTCCTTTTTCATGCAGCCCTTAAGGTACACCAGAGACGCATGTTCTTCTCACCCCCAGAGCAGGTCTGGAAATGTTATTGCTTTATTCTCAACCAGATCAGAGGTCCAGCAGAGGAAATTGCTCAGGGCTGGGTGCTGCTCTCCAGTGCGGCTGGCAGCACCTCTGGCCTGCAGCCATAGAGAAGTGTGCAGAGAACTGAACTGGATGGGTGCTTGGCTCTCACTCGACATAAGAGAGCGCCTCAGACATTCAGTGCAGGAGCATTGCTTCTGGAGAGCCAGCGAGGTGTGGTGGCGAGAGCATTTGGCCTGGAAGATCCAGGTTCTAATCCTTGCCTGACCACGAAGCTCACAGGGCGACTTTGGGCCAGCAGCTGGCTCTCCGTGTGGCCTGCCTCACGGGCTTCTTGTTGTCAGGACAAAATGGCGAGAAGGTGAACCTTGGGAGCTGCGTTGGGTTTCTTGCAAGGTATCAGTGTAGTGCAATAATAACAATATGAAGATGAGGAGGAGGAGGAGGAGGAGGAGGAGGGTTTCCCCCAATCTCAACAGGTGTTGTTTCTCTTCAGGGCCCTTAGAAAACACTTATGGTGACTTCTGGCGCATGGTGTGGGAGCAGAATGTGTTGGTGATAGTCATGACAACGAGGTAAGGTGGCAGGTGTGTCAGTGAGTGAGTGTGTGAATGGCAGGGGCCCGGCTTCGACTCCTCTTTGTGCCTGAGAAATGGAGAATTTCTCCCATGGTGACGATCGCCTTCAAGGCTGGGCCTCCGTCACGGTGTCCAGGGATACCCCTCTTGGCCTTCCCCAGGTTCCAGGCCCTTCCTGGGCTCCATGTTGTTATTTCACAGGGTTTTAAACCATTATTATCTTCTAAGCAGGAGCCTGGCATGCCGCATCATAGCATTCTGCCCTCCGGCTCCACCTTTACCTGGGTTCAGAGGAAAGCTCTTGTGTTGGATGCCCCGATCCCACCTGTGTTTTGTACAAGTCTCTTGGATGAGTTGCTTTTTCTACCATTCTCCACAGCTTGCATTCTGGGAAATTAGTATTTTGTGATGGCAGCCCTTTTGGGGAGGTGCAAGACCCCAGTCTCTCCAGCAGCCCCTTCACAAGAGTGCCCAAGATTCCACATATGCCCCTGATCTGACACCCTAATCCAGGTTCCCCAGCCATGGGGTACCATATAGCTCTCAGGACTAATATCCACTGAGAGATTTGCATTCCAGGGGCTGCTCTAATCCTCTTTTAAACTGGAGTAGCCTTCACGACCTCTTGTGGTCAGAAATTGCATCATTTAGCTGTGTGTTGTACGGAGGGTGTCCTTTTACCTGTCCTGAAATTCCTATCAATCCATTTCATGGGATGACCTTCCTGAATTGCAACATATAAAATGGGACAAAATGGCCTTACTCTCCCCTTTTTCCATACTATGCATAACTGCCCACCTCTATCACATCTCCCCTTCCTCACCTTCATTTTCTTGAGCAAAATTGCCCAAATTGCCCACGTAAGGAAGTTGCTCCAGCCACTCAGTCATATCAGTTCCCCCCTTCTGTACTTTTTCCTGCTCTACAATATCCTTTTTAGCTGTGATGACCTAAAAAGAAAGAAAAACAGAGAGGAACGCTCTTCTTGGAGTGTAGGCAGAGATGGTCCTGTTGAAGTATCTATAAGATGTTCCAGGAACTGTTTAGGCTGAGCAGCAGGCTAAAAATACTTGAAATAAATAAGCAGATAAATACCCCCTCCTCCCCCAAAATTGCCTTGATCTTGCAGACTTGAAGAAGGAGGCAGAAGGAAGTGTGGCCAGTATTGGCCATTGGAGAAAGACTTTCAGACCTGCTATGGAACCCTGACGGTCACCAACCTTGGGACAGAGAACCTCACCCATTACAAAAAAACCATTTTGGAGATCTACAACTGTGAGGTAAGCACAACCCGCTTCAGGCGTGCTCGAGATGTCCTGGCTGAAGTTCAGCACTGAGTTGGGGGCGGGGGGTGTATTCACTGCAAATTAAACCCAGGTGCTATGCCCCGGAAGGATTATGCCCCTCATGTCTACGGACCTCGAAAATGAGTCACGGGGGCCTCGTCGAAAGCATGCATGCAGACCCAGACAAAGTGCCTGTTTGCCATACTGCATCCTAGCACAAGAAACCGCGTGTGGTCAGGTCAAGATGCGCACCACCCAACTCATGTTGGATACATGAATATAATACACCTGGACCTGTAACCATGCAGTGTATCAAGTGGGATAAAATTCATACTGACTGGGAACACAAGAAATAACCTCTTGCGCAGTGGAGGATCCGGTGTGCTTGAGCTGAACGGCCCCTCCAGATCACTGCTGTGCTCTTGCTCACATTCTGCCAGAAGCCAGGCTGGGGTCTCCATTCTGGGTGACCCTTTGACTCCCAGAAGGGGCGCAAGGGGAGCTGCCAGCCACCGCGGTGGATGACGGCTCGCTCTCCTCCTCCGTTTCCCGCTGCAGAGTCGTGAGAGGCGCCTCGTAACCCACTTCCAGTATGTGAGCTGGCCTGACTACGGCGTCCCGTCCTCGGCGGCCACGCTCATCGACTTCCTGGGGGCTGTCAAGCAGCAGCAGAGGGTGGCGGTCAGTGCCCTGGGGCCGCGGTACAAGGGGCACCCCGGCGGGCCACCCATCGTGGTGCACTGCAGTGCCGGCATCGGCAGGACAGGTGAGGGGGCCGGGAGGAGGGGCTTCAGGGGGGCGAGGAGCATCCTGGGACGTGCAACTGGGGAAGGCATTGGCCTAGGGGCCTCGAGAGGCTGCCTCAGACCAGGCCACTGGTCCACTGGGCTCAGCCTTGCCTGTCTTGGCAGCAGGTCCCTAGGAATATTAGGCAGAAGTGTTTCCCATCACCTGATTAACAAAAGGTGCCTGAACCTTTAAAGTGAATGAATGAATGACAGACAGACAGATGGACAGGCAAGAAAGGGGACCTGGTTCTCTAAACAAACAAACAAGGAGGTGCCTCATCCCTTGAAAACAGTAACAGCTGGATTTGCCTGGAATGGAACCTGAGGCGCTCTGTGTGCAAAGGGGATGAAGAGGCGGCATCCCTGGGTGAGCCTTGGGAAGGCCTGACTCTTACCAGAAGAACCGTGAAGCAGCCAGACCAGGGGTTCGGAACCTGTGGTCTCATGCGCAAAACCAGCCCTCGGGGAGGTGCTCCAAGACGATGCTCCAAGCTTCCCCGGAACGCCACGCCGCCTCTTCCCCAGCCACCGGCCTCCTGGCTGGCGTGTCTCTTTTTCCCCTAGTCTAAAAGCCCAAAATGCCTCTCCTAAGGATCAGTAAATGCAATAATAGCTTTCAGATGAATCCTGTTGGCTTTTTGGCCTCGCCTGTTCTGATGTCCCCTTTGCCCACTTGGGAGATTAGAGCACATCTGGAGCGGTCTTCAGCCCCTGGGTTGGGAGAGGCTCGAGTGCCCAACGCGGCCGCCAGTGGGTGTCCTTCCTGGGGGAAGAGCTGGTGGCAGTCTTGTTTTCCTCCCTCAAGGTACCTTCTGTGCTCTGGACATCTGCCTGTCACAGCTGCAAGACGTGGGCACGCTGAACGTCTATCAGACAGTGGTGCGGATGAGGATGCAGCGCGCCTTCAGCATCCAGACCCCGGAGCAGTACTACTTCTGCTACATGGCCATCATTGAGCATGTGCAGAGAGAGAACCTGCTCCCTTCCTCCCAGACCAGGGCCGCCATGGAGAAGAGCTAATGGAAAGGACGGCTGAAGGCTCACCATCGGTCAGTCAGTGCCAGGGACCAGGCCACCCTCCCTCCCTCCCTCCCTCCCTCCCTCCCAATCCAGATTCATCCGAGTCTTCAGACAAAACTCACCACTGATGCAAAAGCCAACTTTTCTCTGCTGTAGAGAAACTTTCTTTGGACTAGTGAGCTGGGCAACTAGAAGTCCCAGGACACAAAGACTTGCAATCCTTTGCAACTAACACGCTCGACTGAACTGTGCCTTATTGAAACAAGACAGACAAACACACGCTGACGAAGACGACACAAACGCCCAGCTTCGTGGCTCCGGCTTGCCGCTGTGGGCAGGTGGGCAGAAGGGGTGACTCCTTGCTCTGGGTACGCGGCATCTTCCTTGCCTTGCTCTCTTCCTGTAGGAACCCTTCCAGTTGTAACCTGGGGCCAGAATAGAAGAAACCCTTCTGCTCAGTCTTAGCTGCTGCTACATCGCTCCGTGTGTCTCTCTCTACGTTCATCTTATGCTCGCTGCCTGGGAGTAACCAGTTCTCTTTAGACGGATCAAGACACAGTTGCTTCTAGCCATGGTGACTTATATTAGGGCTTCTTTTGGCGTGGCGACGTCCGGTGTCGCAAAGGGGCATTCGTTGCTCTGCCCACCTGCTGTGCCTGCCCAACCCAGAATCCCGAGACGGCTTTCAGAATGCGCCTCCGTGCCCCACGCACCCCCCAAGTCTCGATGGGGGTGTCTGGCCCACAAATGCCTTGAAGGTGCCCACAGAGGGGCACCGCGGTGCGAGAGGCCTTGCCCTGGAGCATGTCCAGTCCCCCAGGGATTCTCTCCGGGCATCATCTTGGTAGGATACCCTTTTCAAGTCCGTTCGTTTCCTGTTTCCTTTGTTTCTCTCCTGCAAGGTCGTTAGCCTGAGCGAAGTGGGTGGGTCTCTCTTTCCCTGCTGATGCTTGGGAGCGGAAGGGAAGCTGGCTGGTACGAAGAAGGGTAAGGGCTTCCTCTCCTTGTGCGGCACGCGGGTGCTTGCCAGTGGTGGGGCTGCAAGCTTCCAGTTTTCCGAAGGCATGCCCTCTCCCCCCACACCCTCTTTCTGTTTACGGAAGAGGAGAGCGGCGTTTGAGCCGACCTCAGTAACTTTATACTGGAATAAGCTCTTTCGAATGTGTATATTCTTTTATTTTTTATGACCTTTTGTTCTTTTTGTTTTGTTTTTGTATTTAACATTAACTTGATCGAGATGGAGTTGGAGATAACTGTAAATGTTCCCATTCGCTGTTATATGGCGACAAACTTTGGTTTTGTATTTACAAATAAATATCCTACAACACACGCATCCATTGGCGTCATTTTGTTTGCTGCTTTTGGCAAAGGTTTGTGAGTGGCAGGAAGAATGAAGCCGTTTCTTATATCAATATCTGTATTTCTATCCTGCCTTTTTCTGCAAGGAACCCGAGGCAGCTTATTTATTTATGGACTTATTATCCCGTGAATCAGCCCAAACACCCACAAATCTTGCACATTTCTCCTCCTATAACAGCCTGTGAGGCAGGCTAGGCTGAGAATCTGCGACTCTGTGTTTGCTTTGGAGTCTGGAAGCTCATCCTAACGTTACTAGAGGATGTCATTGTCCAACGTCTGGCACCAGAGTATCCAGATCAAGAAATCTAGACATGGCATGGATATAAAGCGGACCTTAGCAGTATGCATTGATTTAAACAAGCCAGCTGCACGTTGATATTAATATAATAGAAATAAAAATAGCCATGGGCTTGATTCCTGCAGTAATATCTTCAGCCACAAGGGGGCAAAGTTTCATAACTAGCAGGGAGTTCAGTAGATCCTGGAGTCTGAAGGGGGGGGGGTCAGCAGCCCCCTGGAGGCGGCGTTGGGTGCTTTCTCCTCCGTGTTGTGGAGCGGCTCCGTTGCAGGGGAATGGATCAGGCCCCTCGTTCAGGGGCGGGGTATAGGGATGCCTCATAGCCCCTGTGCATGGCTGTGCTTAGATGAGGTCACCTGGCGCATCCAGTTCTTGTCCAAAGGCTTCAGGGTATCGGAGGTACAGCTTGGAGTTATGGAGCTTGTGTATGGAAGTTCATTCACACATACAGGGTAGCCATACATAGCAGGGTGGCCAATTTAGTAGGACCTGCATGGCTCTCAGCCCTACAGTCTAGGGACGGTTGACTCCTCCTTTCAACATGCAGAACACTGAGTTTTAACAGATCTTCAGCCTAGTGAAGAGCAAGCTTCTGCTTTTAACTAAAACTGCACACAATCTTGCAAAGACGTGTTACCATAAGTGTTCCTGTGAAGGAGAAACCCCATCCAAGAGGAGGAGATGCAGCCAATCTCTGGTTAAATGTTTTTAAACGGGATGGTTGTACGCCGGTGCAGCATGGTTAGTGTTGGATGGAGACCTAGGAGATCTGGGCTCCAGCCTCCAGCCAGCCATGAAACTCTCTGCATGATTTAGGGCCTATTGGTGTAACCTACCTCGCAGGGTGGTTGTGAGGATAAAGAAGAGTTCTGCAAATTGCCTTGAGCTATTTACAAGAGGGGGAAAGCAGAATACAAGTGTCATATAATAATTTTCCTCATTCCTCTATGCCACGTGTGGGAAACCTGTGGCACACTAGATGAGGTTGGACAACAACTCCCATTATCCCTGACCAATGGCCACACTAGCTAGAGGGCCACCCTCTGCTCCAAGCCAGTCTTCCAGAAAGAGTAAAACCAGAAAGACTCGTTTTTTCTTCAATTGCCTACCATAGCAAGATGGTCCCATCAATCCATACCCACGGATGATGTCTTGAATTTTGCTCTGAAAAGGAGTCCTTGGGGTGTGTTTCCTACTACTCCATCACCGTCTGGGCTAAATGTTTCAAACATGAACATTGTTCAGAAATAGACCCTATTTTGTTGATGGTTTTAAATCTTAAGTTTGGTGCTACTGTTTTAATGCCAGTCTGGTCGTGAGGATAAACTGAACAAGCTTTGCTCACAGTAATGAACGTCGTGATCAAGGATATCGCCACAGCCATGATCTTTCAGGCCCCTGCTCCAGTATTCACAGCACCACCATGAAGAGGTATTTTTTTAAAAAAAGTAAGTTTTATTATTATTTTTCTACCAACTAACAAAAAGAAACTAAGAAACATCAGTCATCAGAAACATCAGACCTGCTGGGTCAGCCCCCATGCTTTTTTTTATAGTAATCCGTAAACATATTTAAATCTACGCATAGTCCTGTTTCTCTAGCCAATAATAAAAAGAGTTCCAAGTTTGATAGAAATATGTATCCTCTTTCTCCTTCAGAGACAAAGTCAGCCTGTCCATTTCGGCACAGTCCAAGATCTTTTTTAAAATCAGTTCGTCGGTAGGTGGTTTTTCACTCCTCCAGTGCTGGGCAATTACAATCCTTGCCGCAGGAATTACATGTAGAATCAAATACATTGCTTGATTATCAACATCATCAGGTACAATGCCTAATAAGAAAACTTCAGGTTTAAATATTAAAGGTTTTTGTAACATTCCCTCAAGCCATTTATGTATTTTAGCCCAGTGTTTTTTGTTTTTTGTTTTTTTTGCCTTATCACAAGTCCACCACATAGGATAAAAAGTACCCGGTTTATGTTTGCATTTCCAACATCCATTTGATATATTCGGAAACATCTTAGCGCATCTATTTGGTGATGGATACCATCTATACAACATTTTATAAAGATTTTCTTTATATGAGGTTGCTAATGTTACCTCAATATTTCTTTCCCACAGCTTTTGCCATTGCTGTAGCTCAATCTTATATCATGAAGAGGTACTATTCTTGGCAGGATGCAAAGTTCACCTGTGAACCTCACAAGAGGAAGTGGCGGCCACCCTGTTTGGACACCTCCTTTTGAGGTTGCTTCGTGGAGGCGTGGAGCAGAGCACCTTGCGCCCCTTAAGTGTCATAGATGTGGGATGCACTCCGGAACGGAAGGGGTCACAGGTTCTCGTGAGGATACAGTGGGGAGCAGAAGTGATACTGACCATCCTGAGCCAGAAGGGCCGCGTAAAACCGCCAGAAATTATACGCAAGGAGGCAAGCCCAAGCATGCCATGCGGCGCCTAGAAGGGCCGTAAAAGGTGTCCTGGTGCTTCCGGGAAAATGCAGTTGCCTGCACGCCCAATTCAAATGCCATCTGCCGGGGGCAAAGCCCGCGTCCTGCTCTTCCGAGAAAGGGGTCTTGCAAAGCCGTGCAAGGGCGCGTGGACAAGCGGGAGGAGCGCTTCGCGGGCAAGGCTGCGCACACGCGCCGCGCTCCTCGGCTCGCGAGGGAGGGAGGATGCTGCCCAAATGGCCGATCGGCGGGGCAAACACTCCACTCCGCCCGCGAAAGCCCGGGCGCCCGGGAGGGGGGGGGGGGGGGGGGGGGAGGGGGGGGGCGCGGCCTGCTTGCGGCTCCGGCGCCGCGCCCCTCGCGACGCGCGCGCTCGCTCGGCCAATCGCCTCCCGGGGGGCGTGCCCGCCCATTCAGGATTCCTCGCCGGCGCTGGGAGGGTACGTAACAGCTGCTTCCAATTGAGTCCCCCGAATGTATTGTGCCTTCGGAGGCGGGGTGTGCGAGTTCGGGAGGTTTGGGGACGGGGGCGCTTCGGGGTGGGACGGCGACGAAGGAGAGGCGCGGGCTTGCGATGTTCTCCGTGAGGGCGGGAAAGGAACTGGGGGGTCGAAGCGGCGAGGCGGGAGGGGAAGGGGCGCCCCCTCCCCATCATGGAGCGGGGCAGAGAGACCGCGGGCGCCTCCTCTCGCGGGCTCCTTCCTGGCGCCGTGCGCTGGGGGCGGTCTTGTTGACTACGCTCGGTTCCAAAGCTGCAGCCTAGAGAGGGGGCGGCACAGGAGGAGGGGTCGTCGTAACCCCCTGCCCCTCTGCTCGCCCTGCCTCCCCTTTCTTTTTCCGTGAGCTGAACAAAGCTGAGCCGGGAGGGGGGAGTTGGTGGAGTTGCGACGGCAAGATGCTTTCGGCCCCGATCCTTTGCACGCGCCGCGATCGAGCGTGGCCGGAGTTCCAAGGCCAACTGATTTTACCCTCCGTCGGATAGACCAGCCTCCCCCGACCTGGAGCCCTCCAGATGTGCGGGACTACGACTCCCATAATCCCTCAGCCAGAGCGGGGCGAAGTAAAACCGAGAGGAAAAGCGGCGCCCGCTCCCCATCCTAAATGGAGAGAAAGAGCGGGCGCGTGGCAACTGGGCTGCTTAGGGAGTGCTGGGAATGGCAGTCCAGCACATCTGCAAGGCTCCAGGCTGGGAAAGGCTGCCGTAGTCGCTTTCCGCCTCTCCTTCTCCCGGCGTGAAACTTGGGTGCGATTGAATGGATGTCGCTACCCAGGAAGCGCCATATCCTCGCTTCTTTCAATCAAAATCGGGCGCGCGTTGGACGGGGGTGCATTTTCGAGCGCTGAATGCGGCGGCTGGGGCTGAGCCGCGTGGCAACTCTCAGAGCAACACCTGGGGTGTGTGGTGTGTGTGGGGGGGGGAGGGGCCCGCTTCGCGGGCTTCCGCCGCGTCCCATTTTCGAGCGCCGGGTGGCCATTGGCCCGGGGAGCGTTCCGCCGCCTGCTCCGCCCGCGCCCCCGGCGTTCCGTCTCAGAACGGCCGTGGCTGCGGAGCGCGCCGGGCTCGGCTGCCGCCGCTCCATCCATCCATCCATCCAGCCCTCCCTTTGGCGTTCCGCCCGGCTACCTCTCCTTGGACGGGGCTGGGGGCAAGTCTCCACGCCGCTTCCTGGCGCGGTTGGGAAGAGGAGAAACGGGGACGCGACAGCTCCTCGGCTCGCCTGAGCTGCCCGAGAGGCGCCCGGTTTTTCCATCGCAGCCCTTCCCTTCTTTCAAGGACGGGGGAGGTCCGATTCGCAAGTCGGCCGAACGGCTGGAGCGCGTCTGCGGGCCAGCTTCGTTGGCTCTCGCAGGGAAGCTTGGTTCATGGCCGGAAGACTGGAGGGGAGGGGGAGCGGAGCCTGCAAGCGAGGAACCGTGCGCGCAGAGATTTAGGGACGTCAGTGGCGCGGCATGGCGACTCCGCGCCTCCCACCCGTGCCCACTCGGAAGCAGATCGCACCGCCGTGCATGCGGCGGGAGTCCCCGGGCCAGCGAGCAGAAGCGCTCGCCAGCTAAAGCTGTTTACAGCCGGCCGATGGAGCGACAGCTCCTCCGCCATGCCGCCGGGCAACTGCGAGGAGCGCGCAGCTCGCTCTCCGCCTCCCCTTTCCTTTGCGGGCGGCGAGGAAGGACGGGCGAGCGGGCTGCTTACTGGCTGCCACCCCCCCTTCCGGTTGTGGGGCGGCGCTTGAGA